TGTACATAATGATATTAGTGATAATCCGTTGACTTGTCTTATTGAAGTTAAAAAAAGTTAAAAAAGCAATATGGTATAGATGTTTCTCATCGGGTTGTATGGTTAGGAGTTGATAAGGCAAGAGGTGGATTGTTTGATGATTTTGCAACTTCTTTTGAGCAACTTCGATGGTACCTTAAGACGGGTATGAGAACGAATCCTGGAAGTGTGTTTGAATTAGATGTGGATAAAAGTAGTGGGTGTTTTCGGAGATTGTTTGTTGCATTTCATAGATGTTAGTATGGCTTTCAATTTTGTCGTTCATTGTTGTTTGTTGATGGTACATTCTTGAAGAGGCGTTACAAAGGGCATTTGCTTGCAGCAACATCAAAGGATGGTAATCAAGGTATGTATTTATTTGCAGTTAGTATAGTTTTGGTTTGTCAGTGTGTTTTGGTAGTTGGTGGATTTTGGTTTTTGTTATTATATTGTGAGTCTGCTAATTTTTGCAGTTTCATATTATTTTGTTTTCAAGCCCGTTTCTTTTGGCTTTTGCGATTGTTGACACTGAAAATCAAGATAATTGGATGTGGTTTTTAAGTCAGTTGTTAAAGGCTGTTGATTCAAGCCAGAGATTGACCTTTGTGTCTGACCGTCAACATGGATTGCTAAACTCTCTTTCAGTGATTTTTCCCAATGCACATCATGCATATTGCTTGAATCATTTGAAGAGAAATTTGATTGACAAATTGGTGGGACTTCGTCCTAACTATAAGCTAACTTTGATGAAAATATTAGTTAAATGTGTTTATGCGCCAACTGTTACTTCTTTTCAACATTATATGTGTCACGACCCAAACCCGCCCCTATGGGTTTAGCACCGTAACCGGCCAGTAATCCGAGATTACCGAAGGCCTGCTTAACAGTAATACAGTAAAACAGAGTACAGGGGCCTAGCGGAAGCCAATACAGTAAATAAATAATGTCCAATGAACTGTGACAGTCTGTATGCCAAAAAGACTTTTCATATATATGTATACACAGTGCAGAACAGTATGTACAACATTTATAATCATCCAGATCAGGGACCTAATCCCTATTAAACAGTACAGTAACAGTCTATACAGTCTACAAAACAGTTATAGAGACAGACGGGGGAAATTAAAACACCCCTAAGCCATAGCTTGACAGGCTCAGAACCTCGTAGTGAGGCACAGTGGTTGGCTTGACAAAACTGGAGCTTACCCCGACGCTTCTAGCCACGGTCTGGTGCCTGTACACCTACATAAATATATGAGCAGTGAGCTAAAGCCCAGTAAATAACATAATGCGTAAAGAGGTTTAGAATGAATGTCCCTACAGTAATGAAAACAGTTCATTAAATCAGTATTTCAGTCGTTCAGTAGGTACAGTCATATGTGGTACATCCATTAGCATAACAGTATAGTAAACAGTAGGTCTTGAAAGACCGAACAGCCAATGATGGCCATCAATCAGTAAACAGTAGTGGTTCCAACAAGGGAACCGACAGAGATCTCTGTAACAGTAACAGTCAGTAACAGTAGTTGCTAAGGATGCCACAATACGGTTCAGAATAGAGGACATACATTCATTCTATTAACAGTATCAATTCAGAAACAATACAGTTCAATTGTTCAGAAGATAATCGTTTTTGAACATATCTTTACACAGTTGTTACTCACAGAGTTCTGGGCTACAGTTAGGCTAGAGCGCGTCCCCAGTCGCCAACCCTACACAGTTTACAGATTGAACACACACTAAGCTACACAGTTGGGAAAGATAATAACTTAATCCCTATCTTGACTCGGTGTGGTTCTACATCTATATCCTCATTAAGATGCCTTAAACTAGGCCTAAGAATGCCTAGGATGAAATGAGGATGCAAAGATGCACTTTAAAAGCATTTTCAGAAAACAGGGGTCCCGCTCGAGCGTAGGTTAATCCGCTCGAGCGAACATGCAGAAAAATATTTCCACTCGAGCACAGACTTACCCGCTCGAGCGTAATGCAAAACAGTCAAAAGTGCTGGATAGGTGAAATTCACGCTCGATTGGGCGCTTGACACCCGCTCGAGCGTAATACACAAGGTCCCGCTCGAGCGTAAATTACCCCGCTCGAGCTGACTCAAAAACAGAACAAAATGCTGGGAGCACGATTTCCATGCTCGAGCTCTAATCACCCCGCTCGAGCGTGAGTTCAAAATCTGGAATTCCCAGATTCGAACCTCAAGCTCAAAATCAAGTTCAAATGTATCAAATTCGATTCCTTTGGGCCCATTTCCTGGAAAACACTTCAAAACTCATAGTTAAACAGGATTCAAGGCTCAATTTGTAAAATCAAAGCCCAAAGGAAGATCAATTAAACTCATTTTCAAACCAAATTTCAAGAACATAATCCAAGGATGACATGCATGAGTTAAAACCACTTCAAAGCTTCAATGCTAGCTCCAATGAGCCAATTGTTCCAAAAACAAGATGAAAACATGGACTTAACATAACTATGAGCATGCATGTGACAATTTTCCATGGAATCAACTCGAAATTCAATAATATAGGCATGCATGCATGAATTAAGCTATAATTCAACAATTAAGAGCCATAACTTGGCTCTAGACTTCAACTTGCTCTAAAACCATGCAAGAATCAATTGAATTCACAAACAAGAGGGTAGTTACACTACCTTAGGTCTCGTAGTTCAAGAATGGAAGCACAATTTTGAAATCAACCTTCAATTTCTTTAGGTTCTCAAAGCAATCACAATAAGGAACTCAATTTCTCTCCATCTCTCTCTTAGTCGGCAAGAACAAGGAGTTTGGTTGATGAAAAGTTGTGTTTAAAAGTATAATAAGGCTCACATAGGTTCAATGTAGTGGGCCACTAAGTGGTACCAATGTAATTAAGTCTAATTCATGTAATTTAGCTTTATTTCAACTAATTTAATCTTACCAAAACACATTTCAGATAAATACATCATTAAATCACATAAATTCTACTGATCATGAAACACTAATCAATTTCTGGTTCGGCTGCCGATAAGGCCTTCAATTTGCAGTTTAAACATAAAAACATAAACAGATAATCAAACAGTCAAACAGATAGATAATGCATTTAAACAAATACAGTCAATCAATCAGTTTTAGATTTCAGTCAGTCAGTTCAGTATTTCAATCAGTTCAATTACCAACCATAATCAGTCTCAGTTTAGCAGTAATCGGTAGTTTATCGGTAAACAGTGGTGAGGGTTGTTACAATATGGAGAAATTGAGACGCATTGTTAGGAATGGTAGAGTTAATAGTATATTGAATGGTTTGCTGAATGATAAGTGAGCCAATGCATTTTTTAGAGGGAAATGATATGGTGAGATGTTATCTAATGCTGCCGAGTCTTACAATAATTGGATTGGTGGGTCCCGTAAGTTGCCTATTACTTGTATGGTTGATATAATTGGGGTTCAAATCATGACTCAATTGTTTAATAGAAGTGCTGAATCTAAAAGATGGACTACCAAATTTTGTCTAGTTATGAAAAAGAAGTTGGTGGACTCTTTGAAGCTAGCTAAGTCTTGGGATGTGATTGTTGCTAGTGATACTGTGCTTGAGGTTCATTCTTCTATTTCTTTTTATATTGATATTGGTAGACGGACTTGTTCTTGCCATGAATGGAAATTGAATGGTTTTCCTTGTTGTCATGTTGTGCATGCTTTACGTAGTAGTGGTAGAGATGTGTATGATTTCATTGATCCTTTTTTCATGTGGATTGTTTTAGAGAGTCGTACAAGAAATCTGTTTATCCAGTGCTTTTAAGTGAGAGATTTGATTTTGATGGTGTCGATAGTTCGATTATCAAACCTTCTATAACGAAGAAGCAGCCCGGGTGGAACAAGAAGAAGATGACACCTTCTAGGGGTGAGAATGTGAAGCAAATCAAGTGTGGGAGGTGCTTGAAATATGGAAATCACAATAAGAAGACGTGCAAGGCTGCTATTTGAGACCATGGTTTATTCTTTTGGATTTGTATTTGAAATTGAGGAATTATGATAATAAAATGTGATACTTGGTATTATGGAAGTAATGAATAAAGTTGATTGTATTCTTTTTTCTTTTTTGATGTGTTCTTTAGTTATTGAAGTTGTTTTGTAATAATTTTTTTTTTTTTTTTGATAGATTTGGTTGGTTTTATTTTTGTGGAATGTTGAGAAGGTTGTTGAAAATTTCTTATTGAAACTGTATAATCTTGAAATGCAGTTTTACTGCATGATATATTTACTCATATTTCGTAGTGACAAAACTATAAAATTTTGCAGTTTTATTTCAATTTTGAAATGCAGTTCATCTATTTGTTGAGTCATGAAATTGGATGCATAATTATGTAGCATAATTTTTGTTTGAGTAATGAAATTGCATAATTTTACAGTTTTAAGAATTATGAGAAACAACCTGATAAAACTACATAATTTTGCAGTTTTAAGAATTATTAAAAACAACCTGATGAAACTGCATATTTTTGCAGTTTGAAGAATTATTAGAAACAACCTTTACTGTATGAAAATATATGCAACCACAAATGTGATGACAATAATAAGCAGAAGAACACAAATAAGAATAATAAGCACAAGAAGAAGAAGAACAATAATAATAACAAGAAAAATAGCAACAATATCAATGACAACAATCATTTTCACCATGATAATCACAAGAAGATCAATTCCCAAAAACATAAAAAGTACTTGTCACATGTAAAAAAAAAAAAAAATTTAAAAAGTACAAAAATATGTTCACTTGAGTATTTGTAATGTCAATAAGTTTGTTCATTGTTTCTATGGTTTGGTATGTTTTGTCAACATTTGGTAGTGCTCGAGTTTCCGAGATCAGTTCTTATCATTGAGGAATTGACTGATGATTTCTGCTCAAAATTTGACCCACTCAGTTAGTCGAAGTGATTTCTGTACAGGTTGCCAGTTGATATATTAGTTGATAACATTGCAGACGGCGATCGCACAATCATTCCTGCAAAGTTTTAGATGAAGTTAATTAGTTAGGTAAAACTGCAAAATTTAGCATATTGGAACATTAGTTATTAAGTTTGTATCTTACAAGTGTGGGGTTTGTTATGGGCATTCCTCAATTGATACAATTACTGTCTTACACTCTTGAAATGATAACATGTTTCCTTGATTGCTGAATAATGTTTTATTCCATCTCAGTTGATGTTGTTGCTACAAAATAGTTAGTGGGTGTTTTTGTTAGTTATAGTGATGTGCTGACATGTTTTGAAAGCAATGGAACTAAGTAGGAAATTTTATTTAACTTACAATTTTCTTTGCAATTTCAAAGTGCTTGTTGTGGCAAGCTTTTGCTGGCCTCAAAGAGTCATAGTGCCTGCATATCCCATCAGCATTGTCAAAGACTACAATTGTCCAATGGTTGTCGTGGTTGATTGGAAAATGGATATATCTATTTTTTATTGCTTCTAGAAACTGGTTGTCTATCATTTTTTCTCTTAGTGCTTGATCTTAGTTTTGTAGTGAAGTCTGTAATTTATATATGTTTGAAATATGTTATAAAAGTATGTAGTAAGACATGTTAAGAAAGTAGAAAATTTTGCAGTTTGAATAATATTAAAGCGTATGTTAAGTTTTGTTTACATTGATGAGTGTTGAGAAAACGTAAGATCTTCCTGCGTATAGATTTCTTGCAAATGCTAGATCATGTTTCTCAAATTCTTCAATTGATGGTTGGAGTGCCAATTTCATTTCTGCAAAGGCATCAATGACTTGAAACATGTTATATATGAAAATGTGTTAGATTTGTGGAATAGGTTATTGAATATGAACATAAATTGTAAAATTGTGCAGTTAGAGACCTACATTCCCATATAAGGCTTCCCTGTTGGTCAATCTGCATATATCTGAAAAGTATATGCAATTTTCATCTTCGCTGCCAAACCAGACACAAGCACTTGATTGTGTGTTGTTGATGAGTTGAATTTGGTCTTGGTCTTTTTGGGATAGGCTATGCCAAACCTTGTTTGTTTTGCCGTATAAAATGCCGAGTGGCTTGTTATGGATTGATTCTTCCTTGAAATCATCATCACTTTCCAATACTTGAACTTGTGTTTTCTCTTGATTGGCATCCTCTTTTGGCTTGGTTTTAGCAGCACCTTCTTTCTCTTGGTCAATATCTTCTTTCATCTTTTTTTTTTTCCGTTGCTTTTTTGCTTCATGAGCACCTTCTTTTTGCTCGGGTTTAGTAGCAGGTTCTTTCTCTGTTTTGATTTCTTCTTTTTTCTTTTCATTCTTCTTCTCTTTTTCTTCATCGGTACCCTCTGTTGGTTTAGGTACATCAGCAGCAGCTTCTGTCTTGTTCCTTGTATCTTCTTTGGCTTTTGTCATTGGTTGGTATTCAAAATCTGGCTTATGTGCTTGTTTTCTTGACTTTTGTTTAATTCTCTTGACCGTTGATCTTTGTTGAGGACTTCCAGTTTTTTTTGCAAATATTTCCTTCGACTGGTCTTCTTTTCTATGCAATTTAGCTATGAATTTTTGTTCCATTTCTTGCGTTTGTGCTTTCATGACTGCTATGAGTTTGTCCTTGTCGTTCTCTTTGGTTGATGTTTGTGCTTGGTCATCACCTATAAAAATGTTGGATTTTGTTTTGGTTAGTTTAATTAAATTTTACAGTTTAGTTCAGCATTAGACAAGAGTTTACCTTGTGCATAAAATGTGTCAGATTTCTCTTGGAGTTCTTCTTGTTGTTCTATCCTTTTTTCTTCTTGTTGTTTTGCTTATTCTTTTTTTTTTCATGTTGTTGTTGTTGTTGGTCTGTCCGTTCTTGTTCATTGACTTCTTGTTGTTGGTTTGTTTGTTCTTCTTATTGTTCTTGTTGTTGGCCTTCTTATTCGTCAGTGTCTTCTTGTTGATCACCTTCTTCTTCTTCTTCTTCTTCTTTTTTTTCTTCATTATCTTGTTGCTCATCAACTTCTTCTTCTTCTTCTTCTTCTTCTTCTTCAGTCTCTTGTTTTTTTTTCATCACTCTCTTCTTCTTGTTCATCACTTTCTGCTTTTTTTTTTCTTTTTTGTTGTTGTTGTTGTTCTGATTCTGATTGGTGTTTTTCTTCAAGAAAGTCATCCTCATCACTATCTAGAAGTTTTTTTTTTTTTTTTGCTTTTGTTTGTTTTTTTCTACTTATTGTCATTTTTGTGGTCATGTTTCTTTGCTGAAGAGTCTATTGATGTGCTTTGATTGATATGCAATAACTGTATTTCTTGTTCCGTTTGGGTTAAAGCACTTTGGTCAACCTGCATTGGAACAATGTGGCATATATCAGTAATACTGTAAAATTTGTCAGTTTCATAACATGATTTGTACTGTGAGTAATGTGGTTAAATGTTGAAAATATGTTGTTTGAAACTGCAAACTTTTACAGTTTAATAACATGATTGTTAGTGTAATCAATGTGAAAGGATTGTTGAATAGATTTGTGTGTTGAAACTGCAAACTTTTACAGTTTTATAACATGAGTGATAGGAGTGTTAAATAGGTATGTGCTTTGAAATTGCAAACTTTTACAGTTTCATAATATGATTTGTATTGTGAGTAATGTGAGTTAAGTATTGAAAATATGTTGTTTGAAACTGAAAACTTTTACAGTTTCATAACATGATTGTTACTATAATGACTGTGAAAGGAGTGTTGAATAAATTTGTGCTATGAGAGTATAGAAGAGTTTAAATACATTTTCAAAGTCAGGAAGGTTGATATGTTTCCACTTGGAGTACATTTTTCCAAGGTTCCACTTCATAAACCTTGGGAAGCCTTCTTTGTTGGATGGTCAGAGGAGCTTACTGTGCTCACAGTACCAGTACTATGAAAAAAAAATTGAAATATGTTAGATAGTTCGAAATAGTTGGATGTTTGATATTTTTGTGTGAAATAGCTGAGAAGTGTGTTTACCAAGAGTAACATGACGCATCCAGTGACATGCCTTGAGTTGTTGTTTGTATTTGCCATTGAATTCATCAGTGTGTCTTTTATTGCCTCAACCCAATTGTATTTCTTGGTGTTGTTGAGATTGTCAACATAGTTGAGGAAACTCCAACTGAGTGTATGGCCTGTTGTAGGCATGAGAAGTTTTAGGCATAAGTAAAGGGTGATAACCCTTGCAAGATCTTGACGATCATTGGTTGATTTTTCTTTTTTTGTTTGTTGAAACATTTTGGTCGATGACTTGCTATCCAATCTCTTTACTGATTTGCATCTTCATTTGTAAAATGCGAGCTCAAAATCCTTTGGTCTTGCATAGGATTTGGTGGTGATGCTGTCTTCTCAAGCCTCAAATCAAAAAATGAGCCTAACATCATTGTTTCTGAGTTTTATTTCCTTTTTGCCAAGTATAAATGTTCTTTTTCTTTTGTTGTAGAGTGTTGTCATTTCTGCTACAATGGAATTGTAGCATCTGCACCAAGAGGCCTTCAGTTGTGTTGAGGAGAGAGCATTTATAAGGGGCCAAAAAGGGGTTTTTTGCAGCTCTGTCTGTTGGGCTTTTGTGAATTTGACCCCCTTCAACAGTTTGATTACCGTTCCGATGTTGGAACGATAATTAAATTGTTGGACTCTCTTTGCAGGGACTGCTAC